TGTCAATGGGCACAGCCTGCCAGCCAGCGGGCTTCTCTGCTTTCCCACTGGGACCCACCCAGTTGCCAATGTTTGCAGGTCTTTTCTTGCAGAGCAGGTCTTTTGCAAGGCCAGTTGTTCCAGAGGAATCTTCCCACTCTTGCCTGAGGCCCTAGGCTGAGTGGAGAAGCAGTACTAGGCTCTCACCCAAGTGTAGACTTTCAGTCAACACCTCTGCCTTCAGCTGCCCTCAGCTCTGCCTCTGCCTGTACTCACACCTGCTCTGACTCCACTGCTCTAGGCATCCATTCAGGTAGGGAAGGGAGCTATGGTCATACTGCTCCTTAAGCTTTCCACTGATTCTTTCAATTCCTGTAGCTTCGCCAGTGGTCTCCTTGTTGGCTTCATCCCCACACATAGGTCTCAGCTTTCTCTTGCTTGCCAAGTCAGTTATCACTCCTCCACCAGCTCTCAGCTTCTACAAATCTGTTGACACTTCTTGTTTATCGGTGTCTCCTCTCCCACTCTTTGTGGGTTTTTGTCTCTTTTATTACTTTGTTTTGGGTGGCAATGGAGGTCAATGCTTGTGCTCAGTCTGCCACGATTAACTAGAAGTGTCCCCGCTTAAAAAAAACAAAAACAATTCTGTTATTTGGCTTTTCTCCCCAATCCTCCTGAGATTGCTCTTGTCAGTCACCAGTGGATTTTGTCTTGCCACGTGCAATCATCAATTCATAGTCCTCATGTTACCCAGTCCCTCCAAAGCCTTGGGACAGATCACCATGTCTTTACTTGGCCTCCCAGGTTTTCCTCCTTCCATATAGGTTGCTCCTCCTCAAATAGGTCGTATAAAAATGACATGGTGTCAGAGGTCCTCTAACTTCACTGCGGGGAGGAAAGTCAAGATCAGTATCAGCCCAAAGCTGACTCCTGTGAGATGGAGGTCAGACATACCTCCACTCCAACCTTTTACCAATTCTGACACCAGCTGCCCCTCCCATGGCACCCTCTACTTCTCCGCTGGGTTCAGTAATTTGTTGCATTGGCCACACAGAACTCGCAGACCATACATTATAGGGTTTATTAGGGAAGTAACAGGTTACAATTCATGATCAGGATCAACTTGGAGGCAACAGGAACAACTCAGGATACAGTTCTTTGATCAGGACAGCTTCTTCTTGGCTGTGCCCGCAGGCAGGCCTCTCTCTCAACCCTCAGCTCTTGGCCTGGCATCTGCCCTGCTTGGGCAAGTGCCACAAAGCTCTTTGGCTTTGCCAACAAGTGCCTGGAGGCACCCCACTCCACTAGCAAGCCTCTTGCTTGAAGGCTCTCAGCTCTAGCTCTGTGGGCTGGGAAGCCCACTGTAGTCACCTTGCTCCGTGGGCTGGGATGCCCACCATGGCATCTTGTGCCAGTCTCCTAGTT